TTGTTGGTAACGGCTCCTCGTGATCTGATTTAAAGATTTTTTCTTTCCTTTTGAGGTTGATATATCCATGCATGAAGTATGTTGTGCTGCGTACTATCGGTATCTTGTAGTTGATTATGTCGCCAACACTTTTAATCGTCTTCTGAATTGGAGTAGGGAGAATGTATCTACTTATCGGACTCCGTAACGACGGCGCTTGGAATAGGTTCTATTGTTTGCCACTTGTTCGCAGATACGACATGCGTGGATAAGACACTAATACTTCGGACCTTGCTCTGCCATCAAAGAGCTGTGTTGTGGCCAGCAATTCAATAGACATCTGTTGGCCTTTCAGCCGTCGCGTCATGGGTTACTAGTTATCTTGACATTTGCTTCAATCGAAATGTTGGCTTACATACCTCTATGGTTTTATAGCTTCCCTTTGTGGTAGAAAACGACATGAAGCTTTCCTCTTAACTCACCACGTTCTGTGAGCTCTATTAGGGGAATTCCTATATAAGCCCCATCGCTATGGCAAGATGAGCAGTACTGAAGGTGATAAATATGTGACTCAAAATTCTTCTACTCAGTCAGATCTTAAGGCGTCAGCAACAGTAGTAGAGAGATATTTCCTGCTTTGATGGATCTCGACATTTGGTTTACCCGTCTTGTCTGACATATTTAAATGTCAATACAACAATATTCCATAAAAAAATTCCTTTTTTAAGATCATCCCAACATAAAACACCCACACCAATACAACTACATATGTATGCACATATGTATATGTGAAGAGATAAATCTGATGGCATTAAGCTCGGAAAAAAATAAAAAAATTAATGCAAACCATTAAAAGTTAGTTAAACCAAGAAGGAAACAATGCTGCAGCATGCCACGGTTTTGCATACATCCATATTTGCATAACGACATGCAACAATGAAAAACTTCAAATGCAACTTTGCAACAAACAACTGAGATCATTCAGGCCACTATGGGCGTTGGGACATAACACAGATAAAAGAATTAAGTACTTTTTTTTGAATTTTTATTTTTTTTGCAAATATTTACGGCGGCGCACTGCACTTAAACAAAGTGAAGCAGGATTTAATTACTCGAGTTTTTATGTTGCAAAAGCTCTTTTTTTTTTGTATTAAGCACATGCATGCTATTTTTCTGCAAATACAAGTACGAAAAATTTTTTAATCATTTTATTTAATGCGATGCGTTAACAGTAGCGAATAAAATGCTTAATACAGATGACAATAAAAAAAAAATGCCAAATATTTTTCACTTTTTTTTGTGCGGTTGTGCTGCTATGAGCCAACGTGTTTATTATAGGAACATATATACGATATTTCACTGATTTCTCTGGAAGCTATTTGTGTGGGTTACCAGTTTTTCTTTACACATACATACATGCAAAAATATGTATTTACAATAGCAAAATAGCTAAAGGATGATTTTGCCAGCATATTTTCCGCACTTCTATTGTGCACATATTTGTTTGAATAAATTATAATTATACACATACATACATACAGTCGATTATTATTCGAATATCACTGCTTTAATTGGCCCGCTGTTTGCGATTGCGCTGTTTGTTATTGTGTCAAATATTTAAAACTTTGCAATGCATGCACTTGAATATTTTAAACTTTAGTAGGCACATACAATTGATCGTACCACCCTTCTAGTAAACAAAAAAAAAGTTCCCCGTACCCGCCTTAGTCTAAAATATTTTGCAAAGCAAGTACGAAATTCATTCCATTTGTTATTGTGTACAGTGG